TTCTTCAAAAATTAAATTAAAAATTCTATTTCATGAAAATTAACGATGCAGCGCGCGACCAGCGCGAAGAGAGGGGCGGCCTGCGCTCTATTCGTGGAAATTAGTCGCGAATTCGCCACGGATAAAGTTACAGGGGAGCGTGTTAAATATTTACCGGCGTTTGTTATAAATCGCGATTAAGTAAAGCAACGACAGTCGTGATTTCAATATTAATAGATGTTTTTCCATACTGTTCCGCGGTAGATAGAACCGGTGGAGAACCATAAGCGGCGCTATATACCTTGCATATTAATGGAGAATTTTTTTCCAAAGGTGGACTTAAAGTAACTCTCGCAGACTGAATATTAATGACCAGTTTTTTGCGAATTCCGGGCTAATTAGGGCCACGTTTCGCATCCCCCTTGCCTTTTAAGAGAACACCTTTTTCATCAACGCGAGCAAACTTTTCTAAATACACCATTAGAAAAAACCACGAATATCATTCTCTCGTTTCTGACGGATATATACGTATGCATATATCACCGTTATCCTTTTACATCCCACGCAACACAGTTTCGTTATAGCCTCGAGTTTACACGTGCTTGCAGCGAATTTTTCTTTGTTTCCTTCGCAACCGCGCTGCTGCAAAGTTGCAAATTCGGAAGTTTAAACTTGATATTCGGCCGCTTCGCGCTCGTGCTTCTTGCCAGGCAAGTTTGCTCATAATGGCGGCGAAACTACGTCGAATTTTCCATCGTTGCGCAACGAGCGCGCGTTACGCGACTTACAGGGGGGGAATAGAATTTTCGGAAATACGGGGATAATAGCGGTAGGAATCCGTTTATGAACGAGAAGGCAATTCTAACGCGAAACCACATGCTTCAACCGCAATTGAAATTATCCGTGCAACGGCCGATCATCCCACTGTGTCCATTCATCCTGACTATCCTCCCACTCAAGAATGGCACTCGTGTTTATTTAACGATAGACGGTGCTCACACTTCGCTTGCCAATTCCATCGCTGATCGCCGACTTATTCGATTGATGCTGCAAATACCCACGCCTGAAAAAGACCCTTAATTTTTCCTCAAACCTACCGGAAGTTTCCAAAAATATCTTTATAAAATCAAGAAGCATTATAATGGATAAGTATATAAAATAGGTCGGTGAACAATTCGCCAATATTTCAGGCTAATTTCATTTAATCTACATCACGTCTCACCTAAACGGAATCACCTAAATGTTTATTAAGAGTTTCGATGATATCAAAAATATTTTAGATGCAATTCTCAATATTTTTGAGAAATTAATTTAGTTTTTAAGATCTTATAAATGCATTAATATATCTACCTCGACGAAGATCAAAAGATTAAGGTTCATAATCGCAGAGTCTCGGGGAATTTTAACTAAGAACTTCGACGAGTTTTGGATATTCTGGCCCGAAGCTCGCGTCATTTCTCGTGGAACGCATAATTCCAGCAGCTTCCCAACAGTCTCCAGCAACGATCTCTCGATTCAAGCCGTGTCTAACTCGTCCAACGAGAAATTAGCTTTTTTCTAACGTTTCGATTACCTGGGAAATCTAATTTCTGCGTGAAGAAGGATTCCGTCTCCACGGTAGTCATCAACGGTGTCTCCATGAATCCCACGTAGCCGTAGTAAACCGTGTAGATCATCATGGGCACGGTGATCGCGTACACCAGAAACCACAGCGTTCTGGAAAATATCGAAAAACGGAACTTCGTGCCGTTATTCTAAGTACTTCCACCGGAAATAGGCTTTCACAGAGCAACTTAGATCGCTCGTAGATCTTCGACATAGATCCACCTGGTTTTTTTACAAACTCGTTGCATTTTACCTGTCGAACCACGTCGCTTCCGGTTCCACGAAGTACCTGAATCCAGCTAGCTTCGTGTACTTGCAGTACAGCTTGGTGTATTTCAATAATATCCGAACGAAACGTGATCTGCTCGACCGTCGATCAGTTATCATCCCGCTGCACGGAAGATCGGTTTGTCCACGGTGTTCCAATGATTCATCCGCGGCGTACATCTGCATATCATTGGCAAAAAATTCGCTGATCACGAACCGTTGCCTGTGACGCGCGTTTTTAACGACGCGCGACGCGATTTAATAACGTAACGGAAACGCGGACGGGCAGAATTACGAGTTGGAATAAACGGAATATTTGATTTATCCGAATGTACGTTCCTCGTGCAGATAACGATATTTAATAAAATTACACGGTGAAGAAAAGAGGAGAGAAAAATTCGACGAGGTAGTAAAATGTGAAAAAATAAAGGGTGCACGAAAAATGTGGAAGTTTCGAAGTCTGATCGCGGTTCTATGCGACACAGTTGCGCGTCCGGCTATCAGGCTTCGGTATTTGCTACGACGACCACGGCCCGCAACGTTTATATTCGGCCTCGTAAAACGCTCGTCCCATCCTTTGCTTCCATCACGCGTGTATCGTTCTTGCGATACCGAGTACCTCCGGCGAAGCAAACCTCGCCTATCTCTGGCATCGTTTCGCCGCCGATGTGTATCGCTTGTTTCACGCACATCCACCCTGGAATCCTCGAGCTTCGACAATTTATACGAACCTTTGCCCGCTTCTGCTTGCATTTTTCAGATGCAAATCTTCAGATGCGACTGGCAAATGGGAATAGAGGGATACTTTGTGGGGAAGACTGTCCTTTCTTTGATGTTTCTATTAGCAGTAAGGAGTAAGATACGGTGCAGGTTTATGAGAGAAAATAAAGCATCACGAGGAGGGACATGGTGTGTAAGAATGACTTTTCAGTTCTTCGAGTAGATTGGAGATTAAAATTCACTTGAACCTGGGTCACATTTGACCCATAGTAAGAGTCGTTTGTTTGTACGTCAGATAATCGATTTTTCTCCTCAGATTTTTATCTATACATAGTAAAATACATTTCTTAGTAAAAGAAATAGAGATGATCCTGATATCTCTACTTTCCACCCAAATAAAAAATATTCATCGTGCATGTTTCGTATATAACATTTGTGAAGCGTTAAATTAGCAACACTTGTTTGGTCGTTAGACCGTCGATCGGTTGATTAAAAAAGACGACGCGGAACTGAACGATGAACGACGGTCGGCTAAAAAAGAAGGATGGGAAAAATGCGCGGGGAACGAAGTTTCTCGGGAGATTCTTGGGACGTTCGCGAGTCACTGATTCCGGAAGCGTCTCTTCCATTAACGTCCTTACATATCGCTGGAAAGTTCGTTCCGGCTGCAAATCGAACGGACAGATTTTCGACTGGTCGCGCCTTATCAAATGACCCGTAACCGTGGCTGGGTAACACAGCGATCATCAATTTGCAGGGACGATCATCGGTGACAATCGGACCGCGATATCCGCGGGAATTAAATAGAACTCGAAACGATGATTGATCGGTTAAGTTGTTTGCGGTACTGTCGCGAAGTATTAATCAAAATTTCCAACCCCGCGTAGCGTTGTTTTCCGAATCGATAACCGTCTCGATGATCGCGTGGAGGGGGAAAAAAAAAAGGTTGAAAGAACGTTACTCGTGTTTATCTAGGATCAATATTCTAACCGGAGAAATGTTGAATATTTAATTTCAGACTTTTACAGGATATTGGAAAAAAAATAGAGAAAAGCTGTTTTTCCCCCGTTAAAGGTTCGATATTAAAAGGAGAAATTCGCGTGGGGATGGAAAGTCGCGATTTCGGTATCATTAAGTTCCCTTTGGAAACGGAAACGCAGTATCGCGGAGTCACGATTACGAATTGAATATTAATGAACACTTTATGGATTCCGATCGAACGGACGCAAAGCCGTGAATTAAATATTAATGAGGCCCTTTTCGTCGGAGAATTAATTATAGCGTATGCGTGAGATTCGAACCGATCTCGTGTGCAATGAATTTCAAATATTCCAAGTGTTCTCGAACGTAATTCTACGGCAGATTCGTTTTTCTATCTCACACGAACAGTGCGAAGAATCAACGAAAAACATTGTAATCATTGTGAAGAATTGTTCGTGAAAAAAAAAAAAACTATGAAAGAACGTATATTTGAGACATCTCGGAAGACGTCATTCGAGCACTTTTCATTCAGAAGGGCGCAAAATGCAACACGCTCGCATCAACGCCACAATGTATCTGTTGCCGTGCAACGTTCCATTAAATCACAATGCACCGCGACGCATCGTTGCGCGAGCCTCGCATTTTCTGGAACATTATGGCATTCTTTTCGCGCCTTCTGCCTTCCATATGATTTGCGAGCGGCTTGATTTGCGATTCCCCATGAATTCAAGCACCGCCCCTTTTCGCAATTCATTTTTTCCAGCCGTCGAGAACCGTATTTCTCTCTCAGAAAAGATCATCGCGATTGTTCCGCGGCAACGCAACGCAATTACACTCTGGAACGTTTAATTTCACAGACATTCCACCGGTGCGAAGTTTTTTTCACCGCAGAATTTTTCCACTTCGCTTTATTTATCGCCGCGTACGTAATCGTGCAAATTTCAATTATGTGAAATTAGCTATCGCGATCCTCGCCGGCGAGACATTCTAAATAATACCGTACGTTCGTTTCACTTGGAAATATTTTGTTGACGTACCGAGAGAGAGATTCGCATGGGAAACATCGTGTTCGCGAGTTTTCGTTTATTCTCCACGATCCAGCAACAATTGAAATTTATGGTACGTCGAAATGGATCAGACAGCCCGGAAACTGATTTCCCTGTTCGCGAGGTAATTCCGTCGAAGTCGCTTAAATCAGGGAGAAAAGGGAAGCGACGTAAGTCGCGCGAAAAGCAAGCACGACTTTCTCTAAACAGAAAATTTCTGTAAACCGAGCGCATTATGCCCGGCACAGTTGTGCATCCGACAGCTGCGTGACTGCCGCCCGCCGTCAGGATTTCCACACCGGCTCCAGTCGGCCTCGTTTACATTGGGGATCGTAAAAAGTCCCGCAACGACGCTGCGATACTACACGTGTCTCCCTGGTGGAGCAAGGTGCATCGTAAACTGGGTCGTATGGTCAACATTCGGCTCGTTTATCCATAAATATTGCCAATCTGAGGTGATACGATATTCTCCTTGGTGATCTCTGACATATGGCTGGGTTATACTACTTGCGATAGCTTACCTTTGTTCTTTTCTGACATATGGCTGAGTTGTACTACTTGCGAAAGCTTGCTTTGTCCGTTTCTGACATATGGCTGAGCTGTACTACTTGTGAAAGCTTAAATTTGTTCCTGACTGCCATATGGTCGAGTTATACTACTTGTGAAAGCTTAAATTTGCCCCTGACTACCATATAGTTGAGTTATACTACTTGTGAAAGCTTAAATTTGTCCCTGACTGCCATATAGTTGAGTTATACTACTTGTGACAGCTTTATTTTGTTCCTGACTGATATATGGCGGAGTTACACTACTTGTGAGAACTTGAGTTTGTTCTGTTCTCATTTATATTCTTTGTTCTTGTGCTTTTTGTGCAATAATATGACCAATTTGTTTATGAGAAGCTTCTTATAGAACTTTTAACAACATTCAGGTCGTTTATTGTTAAATATTGTAAGATTGAGACGGTATAATATTCTCGTTGGTTGTGCCCGACAAACGACTAACTTGTACCACTTACAGCCTCGTAATTCTACTTCAGTTTGCTCCACCTGTACCGCTAAATACCAACCGCAACCGTACTGTCTCCGAAAACGAAAAGATATATTTCATTTTCGAAACGTACACTGAATATTTCAAAAGGAAGCTACAGGTGTTTCGTACACTGGAACAGAAAAATTGACAAAGAATCGGAATTATTCGTTGGTCAACGTTATCGAATTCCACCGTACCTTCCATCGAGTTCCACGTGTTCCCGTTCGTTCACGTGAAATTCTGCGAATAATTCTCACCGGAAGAATCATCGTTCAAGGGTGATCAGATGAAGCGTAACACATGACGCGGCGTCCTATGATGCGTAACGTCGCTCGTATCGCAATCGCTTAAGCGTATTTCCGCGAATTAATCTCGAGATTAATCCCCGTTGAACGGCATGCTGCGGACAATCCAATTTAAATAGCGCGGGTACTGGGCGTCGCCGCGCCGGTAAATTGCACACAACACACCGGAATGGAAATTACGGTGACGAGATTTCTCGTCTGCCGCTTTTACGTACGGCGTGTTCCCGTGAAACGGTGAACGTTGTTCCCTGTAACGAGACGAAGCCGTAAGACGGCCGTCTTCTATCTTTCTGGCCTAGTTAACATCCTCTTGAATTTATTTAAACACACGCGAAAGGATCGTCCTCGAAGACTTTCGAAACAACGAATCAATTTTTTCTCTTTCAATTTTCTTATCAAAGACCTAACGGTACAAACGTTTCGTCAAATTTCACTCATATTCACATCTTTTCCCCACCGCAACACTCGCGTAAATCATAACTGAATTCGGCCGCGAGCTTCAGATTCGACTTTTCGCGATGTCGCGCAATTAAATAATACGGCTGTTTCGTTTTCGTGGCGACGGGGAAAGGCAGATAGAGAGGGAGAGAGTTGGGAAAAAGAGAATCTAGGTTAAAAATTAATCACGCTCGGGGTTTGCTGGCAATTTCCACGGCTGAATATGGAACAGGGAGAGCACGTTTTATAAATATGATAATTGGCGACATGCAGTGGAATTAGCGAAACAGAAGGAAACCATCCAACAGTGCGTGTATCTCTGTGTACACGTATACACAGCCGTGTGTCACAACTTTTCCCCGTGTATTTCGACGAAATAATAACAGAACGCGTAATATGCTGTTGGAGATAAAATGAAATTCGAATCCCCCTCGGCCACCGCGCCTATCCCTTTCCGTATAAATCCTAAGTGAATTATCCGGAATTGTTCGACACAGCATAGAGTCGTAATTTCAACGACTGTATTTACGATCGTCTAAAAAAAAAACCAGAGGCTAGCAGGATCGAAATTCAATTCAGGCCCATCGAAACGCTGTGAATAGATTCGTTCTCGCGACAATTTATTTTAAACAGCCCGCCCGGCGCGCAATCGATTCCGAGGACC